CATGCTGCTATAAAAATTTATTTTTGGTCATATTGCTATAATTTTCATTTTTGGCCATTTTGGTATAAATAGGTATTTATGGTAATTTTACTATATATATATATATATATATATATGTGTGTGTGTGTGTGTGTGTGTGTGTGTGTTTGTGTGTGTGTGTGTGTGTTTTTTATATATTCATAGTAATTGTTCTTCTTTGCTAGGTGAGTGTCACTATTTGCCCATTGCTGGGTCCCTAACAGATGCTACCACCTCGAGTCAGGGTGGACCTGAGAACAGCAATTAAGTTGTAGTTTCAAGCTCCGGAAAAACTCCAATCTCCCGATCAGAGGCTTTGCTGCCGGATGTAGTTTATCGTCAGACCCAAGACTTTCAGCTATAGAAATGACATTCACTGAAAAAGAAGAGGCGTTTTGTGTGTTAGAGTCTGCTCGAACGAGATGGTGCAACATGCATTTTGAGAGAATTCGCTAAAATGCATCAACTGCAATATGTATTTTGACATGGCACAATGAATTAAGAAAAAAAACAGGAAGGCCGTGTCTGCAGAGCGAAGGAATCTGGAAGACCCCCCCCCCAGTCTTGGACGAGATGGTCAAGTCGGTTCCGGAAACATTTTTGCGAACCGTAAGGAAGTCCATAAAAAGAGCAAGTCTGGAAACCCAGATTCCTTCGGCAGTTCGACGTTTCGCAAGAAAACGCTTGCGAATGACCCCCCCCACCTCTACAAGCTGCAGCTTTTTCCGCCCTTAAAGACAGATGACAAGCAAAATCGCAAACAAATCTGTCTCGATGCGCAAGATCAACTTAAAGGAGACTTGTTTTCAATGATGAGGTCACATTTCATACGAATAGGAAATTCAACAAACCCCAGAAAATCATCATGCCACAGTTAACTGCCGGCTGGATGTGTGCCGCGTCACAGGCAATGTACATATTGAAAACTTGTAAAATCGTTCATTAAATCCACATACCTTTGGCTTTCTCTCTCAAATTTTGATGAATAAATCTTATTTTGCTCAACAATAAACCTGTTTAGTTTCATTTTCTTAGACTATGTAGTTCTTCGGATATTTACAGGTATTTTTCATTGTGTACACGTCGTTATCGAATGTGATACAAGGTCGAGGTTTAGGGTGGATTTGATGGCAATACAGAGTAAAAATTGCCCCAGCCCTCTCGGCACTTTCCGTTTTGGGGACGTCTCAGGCGCCAGGCAATAAATCCAGCCCCACTCCCGAAGGAGAGGTACTGCCTTGGAAGGCCCTCTCCTAGAGCTTGGGATTAATATGTTCAAAGAATATGAACCCCAGAGAAAAGCCGGGATAGCATGTTTACATCTCAGATGAGATCAGATTTATAGAAGCACCCTCTACATTGATTCATACGGGCCAGTTTACCTTTTGGGGATTTTTTATCATAACATTTCGGCCTATCTACTCTTTGGCCTTCTTTCTTCATGAATTCGTGAGATGAAATTTTGTTATATTTATTATAAATTGATTCGTACCAACGTACCTTTGTTATTTTAATTACTGTCGGCTCAGTCGTGCTTTCAGGTGTGCGAGTGGTGTAATGGTGTGGCATAGAGAGAGAGAACCCCCACCCCGAGGGGGATTTAGTAATCAACAGTGCTAAAGAATTAGGATGAAGGTGCTAATTACTTGGGTAGAAGGGATTCCGCAGTAATTCCAGAAATAAGTTTGTTTTTTTTTCTCTTTTTTTTTCTCTTAATAATTGTTTCTGGGGTTGAGTTATTAGTTAATTAAATGCAATAATTCCAGAGTGATTAAGAGACGGATTCGTTAAAGTAAAGTTTGTGATAAATGGCGAATTGGACTTTTGAGTGGTCTGAATGGCGGAATTCAACCAGACGGGATAAGTGGTTTTGGCAAAATTTAAATATACGTTGTCTGCGGAAGATCCAGCAGGAGGTCCGAATCCGATTTTAGTACCTCTTGAAAACTGGTTGCCCGCGGAAATCCGGAGATTAGGCGGAAACACATGGTGGTCCAGGCGATTTGCATATTAAAATTCGGGGGCGGTGCCTAGAGATAGTTTAGCTCCGCCTCTCTCTATATAACCTGCCCGCACGCTTGAATTAGTCAGATGAGTTCGGAGTTCGGAGATCAGAACGCGGAAGAGGCGGCTTGTTGGAATTTGCTCGTCTGGTCAGTTGGTTGCCCTGTGTCAAGAAGACCGATCCGAACCAAGAGATCGAAATAGAACCCGTACGAATCCAGATAACTTCGTCAACAAGGCTTCGAGAAAGCAGACTGCTATATCGTAGGGTGCAGACGAAGATCCACGAATTACTTCCCTTAGATATTGTTTAGGCAGAAATGTTCCTACTCTCTCTGTGTGACTTTCCAACCCAAACGAGTGAATCTCGTTACGACATTTTGTATTCGTGTAAATTCTTCGGTAGAGACATAAAAAACAGCGGCCTAAATAGGGCTCTTTGTACAGGAACAGGATTTTTTTTTCTTTTTCATGTGTTTGCGGCTACGACAAGAAACTTTTGCTGCATGAATAGTGATTTCCTTTCAGCGAAATACCCAGCCATTTCCTCCCCTTCCCACCGGATCGTTCTGGGGAGATCGATACACTGCTATTCGGATCAAGAATTCACAACGTGGCGAATAGTGGTGGTTCCTTCAGTTCACCGGAGGAAGATCGGGTGGATTTCTTTTTCGGCCAGAACCACCGGGGAGACAGGACAGAACTGCAACAGGCAGGGTTATTACGTTAGAATGGATAGCGGTTCGAAATGGGAAATCAGAGTCCTCAGTTCGATTTCCAGTCGAATTCGTTACGTTCACTTAGGCGTAAATAGCCCTGGGAAAAATATAAATCCATCTCTTCATCAATGAAATATGATGGAGGGAATGCAAGGATCAATCCCAAAAAGTTTGAACATATGGCAAACAGGATTCCTAGAAAAGGATTTGCAGGATTACCGCGATATATATTTTGGTCTGAATTTTTCAGATGAGGTTTTGCTAATATTATAGAGGGTGTTTAAGAAAAAAAAATTGATATAATTTCGTAATCTAATAAATTGACTAATTTTCGTCCAAATTTTAACAACATGTGCAGAAGCAATCTATGTTTGATGGTTTACCTCTTTTTATTTTTATTTTCAAGTATAAAAATGCCATTCACTAGCCTGCATTTTTTAGAGAATTCGCTAAAATGCACCAATTCCAATACGGATTTAGACATGGCACAAAATGTTCAAAGAAGAAATCTGTCTGCGCTGAGAAAAATGTTCTGGGCGACCAATAATATTGGAAGAGATGGTCGAGCAGTGCGCATATTGAAAACTTGTGAAATCGTTCATTAAATCCAGATATGCCTTTGTATTTCTCATTCAAATTTTGATGAATAAATCTTATTTTGCCCTCAAATATGCCTGTTTAGTTTCTTTTGCCTAGACTATGTAGTTACTGAGATATTTATATATCAGATATCTTTTTATTTTAAATAACCTTATATATAGAAAAATATGAGGAAAAATTATTTTGTTCGACTTGCTTCGTCTGAAATTATTTCGTTCGACTCGTTTCGTCTGAAATTATTTTGTTCGATTCGTTTCGTCTTAAATTATTTCGTTCGACTCGTTTTTTCTGAAATTATTTCGTTCGACTTGTTTCGTCTGAAATTATTTCGTTCGACTCGTTTCGTCTGAAATTATTTCATTCGATTCGTTTCGTCTGAAATTATTTCGTTCGACTCGTTTCGTCTGAAATTATTTCATTCGATTCGTTTCGTCTGAAGACCTTCCATGGAAATATCGATAGCCTAGCGAGAGATATACAGTGTTTCCTCTGTGAGAAAGGAAGGGATTAAAATAAGCGTGGAGACGATTTTGAATCCTGTCGAGATTAGAAAATGAAGACTATATAGCTTTTACTCATATATAACAGCAGCACTCCTGATCGAGTGGCGGGAATCAGGTACTTACTGGTGTGGTACATTGAACCAACCATTTTTCCAGCATCTTAAGCAATGGATTGTATGTACGAGATCTACTTGAGGTCTGAGTTGAATATTAAATTAAATTACTTTTCCTCAAAGTAGCGGTTTTGGGGAAGGAGCTGTTTGAATTGAATTTGCTTCCTACCAAAGGAATTCGGAGGGAGAGGGATGAATATACTCTTTGTAAGAGGCATGATGATTTCTAGCTGATTGTCTGCATTGATATAGCTACGTGATGTGTCCTATCATAACATTTGCCATGCAAATAGGAACATAGTGGCGATAGACTTACAGCATTTTGTCTCTAGGGAAGGGGTTGTAGAATCAAAAATAATTCATCACCCACAAGGCCGCGCAGACGCTTGGAATTAAAAGTTAGGTCTAGCGATAGCAAAATAAGGTTTTCTTTTTGTCGTGTTGGCGATAAAAAAAAAACAGAATTTCGATTTTTTTGTTTCTTTTTGAGGTTTCCGTAAATTAAAATGAGTAACGTTCGCCTTTAAGAAAAAAGGCGCGAAAATTCTTCCCAAAACGTTGACATTTAGAATTTTGTTATTTTTATTTGATTTGATTTTTTTCAAATATTTTTTAATCTTTTTTTTTAACCCTCAATGGTAAGTCTTTATTCAACATACCTATCAACACACACATAAACCTGCATGCAGAGACAGATGAAAAATAAAAGCACTCTCTCTCTCACCCTGTCTCTCTCTCTATCACACACACAAACACGCAAGCTCGCACACACACGCATCGATACATGTATCCATACACAGACGTTTGGTTAATTGTATAACGGCGTGTCTTTATTTAATGCCGAAATCTAAATATTTTGTGCCCATTGTTACCTGGGGGTGGGAGTGGAGATAACAATGGTCTTTGTGATAAAAATATGACTAATTAACCCATAGCTTGTGGGAGAAGAGGTGGATCCATGCCTTTCCGAAGGACATTTGTACATATATGAATATAACGAATACAGGTGGATTAACAATTCCGAGCCATTATCCATCCAATCT